CATTTTTCGTATGTATGTGTACAGTTCTTTGAAATTTTGTAACAGAGATTCATGTAACTGCCACCATGAGCAATATACAGAGACATTCTGTCACCCCGAAGAACTCCATGCTCCCTCAACGGGTGTATCCACCTCTCTGTCCCACTCCCCTAACCCCTGGCAACCCCTAGGCACCCTCCACCTCCAGAATCCTGTCCCTTCAAGAATGTTCTGTAAGCGCAACCATGCAGCATGCTACCTTAGAGATTAATGTTTCCACTCAGAGTAATGCCCAGTGTTCCATCCAAGTTGTCACCTGTAGTGCGAGCCAGTTACCTCTTATCGTTGTGTAGAGGCACCATTCACCCGTTCAAGGACATTTGGGTTGGCTCCAGTTTGAGCCTATCACAAATCAAAACACTACAGGCATTTTGTATGGCTTTTAGGTGAACATGATTGGTTGTTTCTCTAAGATAAATGCTCAGGAGTCTGGGTCATATGGTCTGCATCCACTTAACTTTTTAATCAGTCACCAACCTGTTCTCCAGAGCGGCTGCACCATTTTACATTCCCACCTCCTTGTAGCTTTTGCTTTACCCACTCTAGTCGGCATGCCGTGGTACTTCGTTGTGGTCTTAATTGGCGTTTCACAGATGACCACTGAGGGTGAACATATTCCATGGGCTTCTTTGCTATTCCTGCCTCTTCTTTGGTGAAGTTATCTGCTTACGTCTTTTGCCCATTTTCCAATTGCACTGTTTTCTTGCTGCTGAGTTTGGAGAATTCTTCATATATTCTGAATACCGGTCCTTTGCCAGCCATGTGGTATGCAGCTATTTTCTTGGTCGGTAGGTTGGCTTTCCATCCTTGTAACAGTCTTTCACAGAGCACGTTTTTAATTTTGATGAAGGCACCCTTGAGCTTTTAGCACATATGGTTATTAGCAAAGGGTAAAAATTAGTCAATCGTTAACCTCCCTGAAAATCATATAAGGACCTCAGGAAAGTATTCACAACCTTCCCATCCAACATATCATCATTGTCTAGCACTGTGGTTCCGTCCTTTCCAAAAATTCTAAAAAACACACTGTTTGCACATTATAGTTGTAATTGTTAGTTTATTGTTAAATAAAGACATTATTTAACACAGTTGTTGGATTCACCTGCACACTGACCAGTTTCTTAGTTCGCTGTCATTGCATCACACACACCTTCCTTCTGGAACTAGTCTCCTCCATTCTGGAGTCCACCCTGTGAGAGCCCTTTCTTGCAAGTCTATTGGTGGTAAACTCTACACGTTCCTTTCCCTGAGAAGGTCTGTATCTTGCCTTTGCTTCTGAAGGAAGTTGTCCAGTGCACAACTATAGACTGGCAGTTATTTCCTCTTGACACTCTCAATGTTTTCTGAAGGCTGTGGCTGTTTACTCAAATCAGCTGCCAGCAAAACTTATTCCTCTCCTTTCTCCCTGGCTGCTTATGAGTGCTCCCTTCCAATATGACACTCTGCAAGTCTGTCAGGATGTGTTTAGGAGTTGATCTCATCTGTGCTACGTGGTATGAATTGTGTTTCCTGTGTCCCTGGGGACACTGACCTCACAGACACAGCCTCTTCACACACAGGCAGTCCATGGGTTATGAACCTCTGGTTCACTGACAACTACTACCTACCCTTAAATATTATGTACATTTGCCCCTTCTTAGAAAAAACTGAGGGAGCTCTGGTAGCATAGTGCCTAAGGCACTTGACTGCTAACCAGAAGGCTGGCGGTTCAAATCCACCAGCCATTCCTCAGAAGGAAGGTCGGGCAATCTACTTCCGTAGTGATACTACCTCAGAAACCCAAGGAGGGTCGCTATGAATCGAGTCTAACTCGACAGCACGTAACAACAACAGAAACAACTGAACCGACTCCTACTTGCACCAAACTCTTCATCACAGTCACCTTCACTTGTTGGCACGTGTACCTTTTAAATCATGGAAAGGCTTCAAGTTTTTTCTTGCACTAAAGTGAAGCTAAATAACAACTGTATGCACCTGTCCCGACTGACCTACAAATTCTTAAAGTTAGGGATAGATCTTGCTCATATCCCAAGGACTACCCAACTTATTCTTTCTTTCTGGGACTCCAATTATATGCATTCTGGCTTTTCTGATCCCATTCCCCAGGCTTTTTAATTTCCCTGTCATAGTTTCCATCTCTTAATCTGCCTCTGAAATATTGTCAGTTCTTCAGCTCTATCTTCCAGTTCACTAATTCGCTCTTCATCTGTATCTAATAGGCTGTGTAACCCATGCATCGAGTTCTTCATTTCTGAAAGTTGTATTTGATCTTTCCCAGATATGGTCACTTTTGATCATTGTATTATTGCCTGTTGTTGTGATTCCTCTTTCTATTTTTTATGTTATGTATTTGATTAATTCCAACAGCTGTTTTGTTATTTCTTCTACTTCCCACTCAGTGGTCTCCTCATTTGAGACTAGGTGATCTCCAACTGTGGGCTCACGTGATACTTCTTATTCTGTGGGTGCCCCCAAAGGCCTGATTAGGAGACACTTTCCTCCAGAAATAATCTGCTAGGATCCAGGATCTGTCAGCAAAATTGATACCAACATTCTGTCTCACAGCCCTGCCTGTCATTTGTCCTATTCTGGGGCTCTTGGATTCTGGGCTGTGAGGGCTTGGTTAAGCTCTGGGGCCCAGTTATGTGGTCAAACGCTAGTCTAGATGTTGCTGTGGTGGAATTTGTAGATGTGATGAACATTCACAACCTCTAGACTCTAAGTGAAGGAGATTGACCTTGATAATGTGGGTGGATTCCACCCAACCAGCTCGATGTATTTACTTGCTTAGCATCCATTTTCTGCAGCTGACTGAGGAGAGGGAGCTTGTCTGCCTTGATCACATCTGTTCCTCAAGCACTTAGTACAGGGGCTGGCAAAATTAGATATGGAACTGGCCAGGGACATGGAAGTGACCAGGGTCAGGGCTCAAGGCCAAGATCAGCACGTGAGCAGGGTCAGGGCTCAGTCTGGCAATGGAACAGGGGCTGAGACCAGGTAGGACTGTAGCACAATCAGGAACACGCTCGTGGCAACAAAGGGGGCAGGGACCAACCACTGTGGGCATCGGTAAGTGGATGGAGGGTCAATCACTTCCATGTGGAATGAAGATTGACCAAGGCGTCTTAGAGGTGGAGGAGAACTGAGGTGGATCCGGGCTCTGCAGGATGGAAGGAAGGCTTTCTTGGGGAGGGAACCACTGAAACAGAGGCCTCCATGCAGAGCAAACAGCACCGTTCTGGTTCCCTAGTGCAGCTCTGACGAGAATATACCACAAATGGGTTGACCTTAACACACAGGACTTTATTCTCTTACAGTTTAGAGGCTTTAAGTCCAAGTTCAAAGTGCCAGGCTCTAGGGGCTGGGTGAAAGCCCTCAACCTTGGGCTTCAGCTCGGCCTCCTGCTCCCAGCCCACTGAAGCTGGAGGCTTTTCTTCACTCAGACAGCTACTGGCTGATGAAGCTGCCAAGCCCAAGGTTGACAAGTAAAAAGCACAGTCCTGATGTTACCAAACCACGTGGCAGGTCATTGATTCAAGTCCACTGAAAGTCCGAAGATCAGCAGAGCATGGTAGGCTGCTGAACAATGACTCAGCTACATGTAGGGTTCAAGTGTGCCATAAGCTAGAGACCATTCCCAAAGCTGTTTCTTATATATGGGAAGCAGACCACGTTCCCAACGCAGCTACTCAGCTGCTCCAACAGATTCCACCATGGAGTTAATTACCAGTCTCACCACAGAGAAGAACTCCATTCAGCTGCCTGCTCACTCAATGAGGCCCAGCCAAGTTGACACACAAACTGAACCACCACAAAGCACCATTGGGCCCACAGAGGGAGAACAGCCTGCAAAGGGGCCAGCGTGCAGCAGAGGGTCAGGACTGTCCTTTGTAGACTAAAGTTACCGACACACTGCTGGGCCATGGAAGAAACCCAAAAGTACGAGAGAACCCACTGTACCGTGTGCGACGCCCCCAACCCTGCTGTCGCCTCATCCACAGAGCCTTCTGGGCCAGCATGCCACCATCGGGCATCTGGAAAGGCCTTCGCTCACAGAGCCAGGCAAAGGGACGGCAAGGGAGGAGGCTGGGCCAGGATCTACCCTCCTTCTGGCCTCCCATGACCACCCACCCTCTCTGGCCTCAGACTGTCCCCACCAAGAAGACAGGAGGTGCTGCTGCCTTGCCAAGGGGTACTTCGAGAGGAGATCAAAGGAGAAGGTTCTGGAAGCCCAGGGAAGCCTTCAGGCCCCTGCAGGGAGCTGAGCCAAAGCACAGCCCAGGAGAGAGCAAGAGCCGGCTGCATTCCCTTGTCATCTTAAATACCGTGATTGTCACTGCGGCCTTCTGTGGTATTTTATGCTCATGTACAAAAAATATTTTTTTGCAAAAGAGGTACAAAGTGTCATCCCATCCCCATGCTATACGAAATAATGTATGTGCATACATATATATATTTATATATATTCATAATAATATAGGTACAAAATTGGAGACAAATGACACCAGGCCAGGGGCTGAGGCTCCTTCGGTCAGACCCAGGAGGACGGCCGGAGCCGCCGCTCTAAGTCCACGTGCCCGAGGAAGAGCACGGCTCCTACAAGTCACTTCCAGTCGGGCTCTCAGGGGCCACTCCTCTGCCCGCGGCCTGCACAGGCCGGCGTGTGCCCCATCTTCCCGGCCTTTGCCTGCTGTCAGAGCACTGGGATGGCCAGCCAGACGGCCACCCGCTGCTCTCCACCCCCAGCATCCTCACCGAGAGCCCTCTCACCAGGCTCGCCCAGTGTTGGCTCCCGAGCCCTCCTGCACGTGGCCCCACCAAGAATGCCAGGACGAAGGGAGCAGCGCAGGCAATGGCCCACGTCCACTGGATCTCCAGGTGATTCTCGCCTCTAGAAGGGGAGCTGTGCTCTGTCCACCCCGGCCTGGTCCTGGCTGCCCATGGCCCTCCCAGCCCAGACCCTAGATCTCTTCCTCCACCTTCAGAATCATCCCGGAGAAGGCCTCCAGGCTGGCAGGGGCGCCCTGGGGGCTGGCTTGGGAGCCTCGGGCGGGCCCGGGGGCCGCTGGGCCGGCAGGGGTGTTGTCAGAGGTGGAGGGCCAGGCCCCTCGGCCTGGCTGCGCCTCCACCAGCCTCTCCAGCGTCCGGTTGAGCGCCTCGACGCCATCGGCCAGCCGCTGGCTCTGCTCCGCCAGTCGCTGCAGCAGCAGGTTCTGCTGGGCCGTCAGTGCACCCTGTTGCTGGCACCAGGAGGACAGCAGGGCGCCCTGCCGCCGGTGTGAGTCCAGCAGCTGCTGCTCAAACTGAGACACCTCGGCCGCCGCCACCGCAGGCTTCCCAGAGGCTGCGGGAGATGAGGAGGGCGGGGAGGGCCGCAGGGCCCCCACAAAGGCAGTGGCTGGGGGAGCTGAGGCAGGAGAGGCAGGTGGGGAGGGTGAGGAGGTGGGCACGTGGAAGACTCCTCGCAGGTCCAGAGGGTCAGGCTCGGGCAGGCTGGGCCCGTCCAGGGTGTGCAGGGGGGTCCACAGGCAGCCAGGCACCTTGTCCGCCTCGTCAGCTAGCAGGGAAACAGGGGACCATCAGCCTCTACTGGTTGTGGGTGGAGATGCCCAGGGAAGGATGGGGCGGGGGCTGCAAGCAGTACGTAGGGGCCCCCACACAGCCATTTGGTCTCATGACACCCTTCCATGGTAGCATGGTGCCCCATTGGATGGTGAGGTCACTAGACTCAGGGGAAGGATCTGCTCTGGTCACGTGGTCAGTGGTAAAGCACTGGGCTGACTCCCAACCCTGTGTACCATCTTGCTGCTGTCTATTCACCAACCCATTCAGCCACCCAGCTGTCCGTTTATCTATCCCCATCTTGTCTGTCTGCCTACCTATTTATAGCCACCCACCCACCCACTCTTCTGTCTGTCCACCATCTGCTAATCTACCATCCACCCATCCTCCATCCACATACCCATCCAATCCCCCATCCATCCATCCATCCATTCATCCACTCACCCATCTTCTATCCTCTATCCCTCTCTCGACCCATCCACGATCTTTCCATGCATCCATCATCCATCTACCAATCCACTATCCACCCATTCATCCTTCACCCACTCATCCGTCCATCCATCCATCACCCATCCTCTATCCTTCTATCAATCCATCCACCATCTATCCATGCATGATTCATCCATCCATCCACATACCCATCCACCAATCATCCACGATTCATCCATCCATCCATCCATGAATATATTCTTCATCCACATATCCATCCATCCGTCCATCCATCCACCCATCTCCCTCCTTCCATCATCAATCCATCCATCCAACCTCTATCCAGTTCATCTACCACCCATCTAGCCTCCTTCCATCTTCCATCCATCCATCCATCTAGCCTCTCTCTCCCTCCATCCATCTATCAACCTAGCTATCCACTATTCATCCATTTGTTCATCTTCCATTCATCCTTCATCTATCATCCATCCAACCCCCTGGCATCTGGCTATCCAACCATATATTCACTTACCTGTCCACGCACCCATCTACAATTTGTCTTTCCTTCCATCTATTCACTCATGCCTGCATCCATCCATTCTTCCAATCAGTCTGTCCATGCACGAATCCATCTGTCCATCCACTTGGCCACCCAGGCACCCGTCTTTCCGTCTGTCTGTGTACCCGTGCAGCACCAGGGTAACATGAGAGCAGAGCTTCCATGGGCAGCAGCAAAAGTCCTGGACTAGCTACCCTGTAGACTTGGGCTCCACACCCACTCTGCTCTTGACAGCCGTATGACCCTAGGAAAGGCCCCGCTCTTTGGCCTCAAAATCCTAATCTACAAGTGGCTTTGTTGTTGTTGTTGTTATGTGCCGTCGAGTCGGCCCCGACTCATAGCGACCCCTCCTTGGGTTTCCGAGGCAGTATCACTACGGAAGTAGGATTGCCCAACCTTCCTTCCGAGGAGTGGCTGGTGGGTTTGAACCACCAGCCTTCTGGTTAGCAGTCAAGTGCTTTAGCCACTATGCTACCGGAGCTCCCAAGTGGCTTTAGGGAGCTCTAAGTATGGGGTGAGTGTGGAGAAGTCAGCTAAGGCCCAGGAAAGCTGAGTGCTGAGAAGCAAGGCTGTGGCAACGCCCTGTGCTGCTGGGTGCGCCCTGACTGACGTGGGTGAGGGCAGGAGGACATGGTAGTGACTTTTGGGGTGAGCTAGCCCTGTCCGACTCACCCATGAAGTGGGGACAGCTCCTGCTGTGCAGTGGGACATGGACTGGTGACAGCCGACACTGTCCCAGACAGCCAGCACAGGCTCACTGGGCCTGCGGCAGGAAGTCTATACCTGGTGAGGTGCCCAGAGGCTCAGGCAGAGACCCCGTGGCCACCACCTTCTTTTCCTCCTCCTCCTCCTCCTCTCCTCCTCCTCCTCACCGGCACATCTTCCTTCTGCATTCCGAGGTACCTGCCCATCCTTCCGGTCCAGCCATCCTGCTGGTCTGTTGCTGTCCTCTCAAGACACTGGCTTCCATGGGGAGAGGTACTCGGGGGCACCACCACTTGGGAGAGTTCCTCGGTGTGGCAGACTCTGCCGTCCAGGCCAGTGTGGCGCAGAAAGGAGCAGGCAGAGCGCTGGCTGCAGGCGTAGAGTGCCCCAGAGGCCTGGGTCCGTGTGCCCAAGTCAGTGAGGCTGTGGGTGGGGCCAGAGGGTCTGGTCATGTGTGGATTCTGAAAGGCCGTGGGCGGGTCCAGAGGGGTCCGAGCCAGAGTCAGGAGACAGGCCATGCTGCAGGCAAGACTTGGGGCCCATGCGCCATCTCCTCCTGGGCCTAGTGTTCACTGTGTCCTTGGTCGCCCTGACCTCCGAGTCCGAGTGGCCACTGAGAGGGAAGGGGGGCCCAGCGGGGGGCCATCCTCACTTCCTCCAAGCCTTGTCATTAAGAGTGCAAGCCGCGGGCAATGCAGCGCAGGAGTCTGTCGAGTGTGGCCCGTACCCCTTGCTCCCTTGCCTGCCCCAATGCAACCAGAGGGACCTTGCCAAGCCCACACCAGGCCCTGGAGCAGAGCTTGCCCACAGCCTGAGTGGACGGTGTGGTGACCCATGTCTCCGCCCACTGAGGCCTCACCCTCACCACACAGCCCACTACCACCTCCTGCCGCCTGTGACATTCTTCCTTTGGCCTCTGGCACACTGTCCCACTGCCCAGACAACTGTCCATCCTTCAGGACAGAGCGTGGACCTGCCCAGAGGCCCACCCTGCCCCACTGGTCCTGGCTTCTTCTGTGCCCTGGAGCCCACAGCAACCCCATCTCCCTGGACCGGACTGGAGGTCTCTCAGCACCCCTCCCCACCCCAGGATGCACTCTGGGGAGGGGCTGTTTGTGGTCCTGTCTCCTGCCAGGGCCAGCTCAGAGCAGAGGGTCACCAGGAGGGACCAGGCGAGCGAAGGAGAGGCCAAGGGCCAGGAGCAGCCTGGCCCGTGCGGTCGACCAGCACCTGTCAGCGGCCACGGAGCCAAGCCCCCCGCGTGACGCCCCACAGGTGTCAGAGTTGAACTCTGCCACAGCCGCTCCAAAGGCTCGTGTTTCAGAAGTGCGTCCCCAGGCCTGTCGTCTGCAGAGCCTCTGGGCAGACTCAGTGTTAAGGGTTTGTGCCCCCGTGGGACCCCTTCAGCAACTAAAGGCCTCGCTTTGTACTCAGACCCTGGGAGCCAGTGTGCCCCCAGCAGTCTGCAGAGCTCAGGCCCAGAGCCGCCCTGAGTGGGTCCTCAGCCTGCAGGCCTGGCGGCAGACGCACTTGCCCTACAGGGAGAAGGGGACACACAGAGCTTCCTGCAGGAGCTGCTCACGAACTGGCCTCAGGTGGGATGAGCTCATGCTTTAGGGGACCCCAAGATCTCCGGCGACACAGTACTCCACCCACCCGCGCTCCTAGCCAGGAACACGGTGGCAGGCAGTAAAGACGGGAGAAGCTGGCACCAACGCCGTGGGTACCACCAAGACCACTGCCATGGCCAGCACCAAGCACTCACCCCAACCCTGCATCGTGGCCACGTCCACCAGGGCTGCAGGCCGCCTGGCCGCTCCAAGAAGACCTGGCAGGCATGCCTTCCCATGCACCTGAGTTGGAGGGACAGATGGCGGGACCACGGCATTGGGCGGGCGCTCCCACCTCACACCAACTTACTTGGTGCCCACTGGCTCCTGCCAGGAGCTCTCGGGCCGACTCCGCATGCGAGGAAGCAGCCTCGATGCTGGCTTCAACACTGTCTGTAAATCAAGACAACAAAGGCAGTTACCACGGAGACCCAGAGGCCTGGCCCAGGGATCCCCAAGGCGAGCCCCAGGCCAGGGGCCGCTGGAGGGGTGGCCTCGGGGATAGGATGACCCTGGTGTCATGCCTCTGGTAGCCACCGTGGTCACGTGCAGCTTCCTTGGGAGGCCGTGATGTGGCTGAGACCACCAGGGGTCCCCAGGGGCTTGTCTACCTGGCACTGCTCAGTGACCAGTGCAGGACAGAGGCACAGAGCCTTCTTAGCGTCCTGCTCAGGGCAGGTGGGGACAGCATGCCGGGAAGGGTGGAGGCTGGTGAGTCCCAGCTCCATCATGACCGCACCCCAGGAGGCCCTCCACTCCCCAGGCAGCGCTGCACCCTGGCCTGGACCCCTGCCCATTGTCCAGTGTTCCAGGGACACAGTGGGGTCTGCAGGGGCCTGGGGTCAGCACACGCTAAACCAGCGGCGGATCCAGGGACCGGCCATAATAGGGAGGCTGCTGACAACCAGGACTGGGCAGAGGGGATCCGAAATGCTGCACCATGTGGTCACGCAGCCCCACCAAGCCCGTGGTTCCTGGGCACCTGAGGCAGCGCCACCGAACAAGACTATTTCACGCGAACCAGAAGCAAAAAGGATGCGTCGTAAAACACAAGCCGACACAGCCATTCCTGCTGCACATGTGTCCCCAGTCCCACCTGGCCCCAGTACAGACGCGTCGCCTGGCGAGGGTGCGGCACGGGTAATGAAGACGCGGTGTCCCCTCAAGGGTCAAGGGTCCAGGAGTCTCTCTGCCTTGGTTTCCCATCTATCCAACAGGACGAAGGCAGCACCCACCCAGGAGACACACTCATGTGACTGTGTGACAGCCCAAGCCATACGTGTGCAGCGGCAGCCCCTAACAGAGACTGCCACCAATACCCTGGTCGCCAGACCACACACACGCTAACCTCCCCCTCAGTCTGCAGGACCGTTCGTGAGAGGTGCGTCTCTGAGTCAGGCATCTGGTGAGAACTGAGGAGGCAGAAGGACCTGAAGCTGGGTCTTGCAGACCCTTCTAGAGCTGCACAGCCCTTGGGGGCCTGGGACAGAGATGCGTCACACTCAGGGAGCTGCTGGTGGTGCTCTGTCACCCTGGGCATGACTTGTTCCAGAGCCATGGGGCCGCTGGACAGAGCCTTCCTTGGGGTTGGCCCACCCTCTTCTGTGGCTCTGACTAGCCCGTCTCTATCTTGGGTAGCTCCTGCTTGGATCTGCATGGCATGACCCCATCTTTACAGGCCCTTGGGCAGGGAGGGCCCATGGGCCCCCACCTTTGAGAAGTTCTCATGCCAAAGTCCCTGGCCTGGACTTCACCCTGACCCTTTAACTGGGGCCACAGAACCTCTGCCCAGCCACTTGCTATATGGCCACGGTGGCCCTGGGATCCACGAGCTCATCACCCCACCTAGGTGTGTCCTCCAGTAGCTCCTGCCCAGCCTCAGTCGGGGTGCTGGACAGGGCAGGGGAGGCAAGGAGGCTATGGGCCCTGTCTCCCCTGAGCTGGGGACCCCGCCTGCCTGAGCCACACTGTGGCCCCACATGGTACACCGAGGGATCAGTCCCCGTCCACCGGCCTAGACCAGGATGGAAAGGACGGGGTCACACATTTGACATATTCACCCACAGCTGCCACTGAAGGCAATGGCCCTGCCCAGCCAAAGGTGACCCTCAGGCTATCTGTGCTTCCGGGCAGCGCCCGCCCCATCGCCCCTCCCCCACACAGAGCAGCCACCCTACACACACACAGACACAGGGTGGGACCAGCCATCAGCCACCTCCTGTCTGTGAGGTAGGTCATCCACAGGAAGAGGGGCACTGAGGCCACCCCAGAGGCCAGGCTGGCCCCAGAAACAGAATGCATGGCCCAGCTGGCGCCGACCCTGCCCGCACACGCAGAGGCCTGGTCCACGGAGTCTCTGCACAGCGGAGTTGGGGGAGGTGCACAGGGAAGTCCTCCCACAAGGCTGAGGCTGCAGGGCAACACCCCCAGAGCCCCTCCCAGCCCTGCCTGATGACGCTGAGGGATCACCTACATTTGAAGACCAGGGTCCTAGGCAGTGCGAGGGCACCTTCCAGCTGGGATGGGGCCCCCTACACCACCAGGCTCCTATACCCCCTGTGGGGCCCCAGCTGCCGCCGGCCCACCCGGGGGCCTGGCCCCACTCAAGCACCTGCCTTGTGTTATTCACAAATTGAGAGCCACCAGCAGGGCAGGCCCCACGCTTAAGATCCAACTCAGCACAGCCAGGCCCCGCCCACAAGGAGCTACCACTAAACCTGGTCCATGGGGCCTTAGCAGCCACGCCCTCACAGGGGTCAGCACTCCTGCTGGTTGCCCAGGTAGAGGGGCCTACTGGGGAGAGAATGGGCACCCGGTGCCAGCCCTCCACCACCCGTGTGGGGCGCCCCAGCACATCCCCCACCAGGCCAGCTGCTGCACAGACCACAGGGCCTGCCCTTTAGGGGGTCAGGTGGGGTCCCAGGGACTGGGTCACAACCCACTCCACCCCACACAAGCAGATTCCCCCTCCAATTCTGCCTGCCCCCCAGACCTGCCCAGGCTCCTCCCCTGGGCTCACACCCCAGGCCCCGCCCCTCAGCTCGGCCGTGTCCCCCCAGCCCTGGCGGCCCCTTGGGTGCTCCCGTTCATGTCTCCCAGTGACCCAGGCTTGCCCTGTGCCCAGTCCTTTCTCAGCCCCACAGCCGCACCCACCCCCGCAGAGAGCACGCGGCTGACGGCGCCTTCACAGGTCCACCGACGCTAGTTCCGTCGGCCCTCACCGGGGCATCTGAAGGCCGACCACCGGCCGAGCCCACCCGGCTGAGACCTGCTGCCCCAGATGTGCTTGGCTTCCTGAGGGTCCAGAGAGGAGGGGGCCGTCCTGTGCCCCAGAGTCCTTCAACAACTCCACAGGGTCCCTGGGCTCCACTGTGAGGAGGGGGTGGCGGCAGGCGCTCCCAGGCCCGAGGGTCTTGCAGCTGCACGGTGGTGGCAGGAGGCTGAGTGTGGAGACGGAGGTGCTGGAGGCGGAGGAGTGGTGGGAGAGGCCCAGCCAAGCGTCCGCGGTCCTCACCAGGTACAGAAGCTTCCAGAGAAGGCCGAGGGCACACGTGGGGAGAGTGAAGGTCCAGAGGGGCTGAGAAGGGCCTTACTATGGGACCCAGGGAGGGTGAGGAAGAGAGGATGGGAGGGGCGAGGCCAGGGCTGCCCGGCACTGCGGGAAGGACGTCTGACTAGCCCATGGCCTGGGTCCACCTTTTCTGGGCTCAGCGCTCACTTGCGTGGTGGGTACACGACTGGGCCTGATGTGAGGACCCTAGAGGTCCAGATACAGGAGACCTCACAGGAAGTGTGCCAACCCCGTGGGCAGCAGCAGGCACGTGTCTGATGGGGTCTGCACGTGGAAGAGCCCTGGTTTCCTGCTGACGTCAGTGGCCAGGCCGGTGGGAGGCTCAAGGGCCTGGCCTGGGGTACCCCAGCCAACCATGATAGGGTGGGGGAGCCTGGGACTGAGCCCAGCTTCCGTGCTGCTGGGACGGCAGCCCTGCCTGGCCCTGAGCTTCGGTTTCCCGTCTAGACGGAGCAGGGGGAGAGGATGCAGGGCCAGCTCCTGGGGCCCCTCAGCTCCCCTTCTGCCTGGGGGGACACAGCCGCAGGGCCCACTTACTTGGCAGGGGCTCGGCCCCCTGGCCCTCGCCCCGGGGGGGCGGGACAGAGAAGGTCTCCGCCACCAAGCGCTCCACAGGCGTGAGGACGAGGCCGGGGCCGCCCCCCGTGGCGGCGCGGGGCCCCTCGGCCAGCTTCTTGCGCACCACCCCACGCAGGTCCCGCCACTTGTGTTTGAGGTCGCCCAGGTCACGGCGGCAATAGCCCAGCGCATTGACGGCCTGCAGGATGCGGGTCCACACACGGTGCTTGCGGGCAGGGGGGCCCCGCAGCGCCCCGAACAGCAGCGGGTAGTGGCGAGTCACCCTCTGCACCAGCACTTCTGTCTCCTGCGGGCTGAAGTTGGGCTTGCGTGTCTTGGTGCGGGAGTGGGAGCCAGGTCGCAGGGGCGTACAGCTTGGCCCGTCACCGGACAGCAGGGCGGTCACGGCCGGCTCAGGGCTGCAGCTCCGCCGGCATACGGCCTTGCCTGCACCATTGGACCCTGGAAAGGCACCAGAGGCTGGGCCGAGGGCAGAGGAATGGGGCAGGGGAGCCGTCGGCCCTGGTGCCCAACACTTGGGTCCACAGACCATCGCAACGAGGTCCCTGGAGTCTCTGTCACATGCAGACCCCCTCCACCTGCCCTGACTGCTCAGCCTCACCTGCCCCTTGGCCCACGACCATGCCTCCTAGCTGCCCGGGGTCAGGGAGCACCTGTCCCACAGGATACGACCCGGGTCAGTCATCACTGGGACACTCAGGCCATTCTGGGCAGCCCACCTTGCTGACTGCTAGCCAGAAGTGGACTTGGTGGGGATAGCAGGCACGGTGGCAGAGCGTGGAGATGGAGCCAGGGTCAGGGCCTGGGAGGATGCCCTGCAGGGTGACGGGGCACCATTGGCCACAAATCAGCCTCAGGAACTCACGCTTTGTGGGGGAGGGAGGACACACCCCAGGAAGCAGGGGGAGCTCCACCCTTCTTCACCCAGAGACAGACAGCTGCCCCTGTGGGCTGTGGGAAATGGCTGCCTCCAGCCTCAGGGAGGTGGCAGGGCCATTCCCTGGCACAAAGTCGTGAGTGAGACAGTGGGCCAACCAGGGAACAGATGAAGAGAGGCTGGGGCGTGGCAGAGCCCTGTGGCTACTGGCTGGAAGGTGTGGCCGGGCAGGGCATCTGGGACACTGCCCACTTGGGCAGGCCTTCCCCAGCTGAGTAAACAGAGGCCGGGTGGGGGGCCTCAAGCAGTCCCTACGCCCACCTGGGACCCAGAGACATCAGTCCTGGGGGAACCCATCCAGATCCCACTGTACCCTGGAGCCTGCCTTCAGGGTGGGCGGGCAGCACAGAGGGGCAGGGCCACCACGTGGCCACACCAGTGTCCAGTGCAGCCTCTCGGTGGACAAGTGGAAGTGGGCGACTGAGGAGTCACCGCTGTGACCACCCTGGAGCCAAGCCCACCCTGGAGCTGCAGCCGCCTGGCAGGAGGGCACTCAGAGGGCACTGGCTGCCTGGCCTGAAGGGGCTGTTTCCTGCTCAGCATCTGTATCCGTCTGCCGCCACCACGCCTGGTCCACTCCAAGGCAGTTGGGCCCAGTCCGCAGCCTGGACTCAGTAGCATCAGGTTAACGTTAGGAATCACCCTTCCTGCCTCCGTGTGGGGGCGCCAGATCTGGGGGGTGGGGACGGATGGCTAAGGGGGCTGAAGCTTTGGGGCCTGGTGTGCAGCTGGGGAGACTTCGGCAGGGCAACCCACAGGTACCTCCCAGGGAACCAGCATGGAGGGCCAGGAAGGTCCCCAACTCCAGCAGCGGGTGACCAAAGAGAGCCAGGATGAGTGCTGGGAGCCACCCGGCTCAGGCAGGGTGGCCCCAGCCCTCTGGCTGTGTCCCCATCTATGGAGGGATGGACCCCCTCCTCATCCCGGCAACCCCCTAGCCAGGCCCTGCCGCTGCAGTATGGGATGGCCTGGTCCTTGAGGATGAGCAAGGAGCCCAGGGCCAGGGCTTCAACTTCCAGCCTCATACACCCAGAGCCCTTCCTGGATACTGGGCCCAACACCAGGACCCCGACCAGGGAGAAGGGGGCAGGCTGCTGTGCCCACTGGTGGTCACCTCCATGACCCCCGCAGCCTCTGCCTTTGTGGTTTACCTCCTTTAAGGGGAGCAGGGCTGTGGGGAGCCTGAAGCTCAAGGGGAGCCCTGTGTGGAGCTGAGTATCATGGGGGTGCTGTCCTGACACCCCACCCTACAGGCCTGGGTGCTTCCCTGTGCCACCCTCACATGCCCATCTCCTCCCCGTGGCCCACCCTGATGCACCCCTCCCAGTCACAGTGAAGCAGACAGGCCTCTGGGTGGTCAGAGCCAGGACTCACGGTGACTCCCCACCCTATGTCCAAGCACGCTGTCAAACACCAGGAGTCTGTGTTGTGGGAAGAAGGCCAGGGTGGGGACATAGAGACCAGGAGCTCCCTTGGGTGGAGAATGGCGGTCTCCCTCCTACATGAGCACCCCTCTTCCTGAAGGGCTGGGGAGCTGGCAGGGAGGTGAGGGAGGGGAGCAGAGGTTCGGCCGTCCAGGTCTGGCCCTGGGCCCACTCATCTCCAGGTGGTTGGAAGCAGGCCCTCTGCCAGCAGGTACCTACCGACAGCCTCTCCTTGCTCCGACACCATGGAGGCCAAGTCCTTGATGATCTGGTTCACGTCCAGCAGGTCACTCTGTAGGAACAAGATGGCGGCCACGTCAGGCATGGGAGCGGTTGTGTGGCTTGCAGGGTCGTGGCCCATCAGAGAATGCTGAGTGCACCCAGAGTGGCAGATGAAGCCACAGAACCAAGGACCAGTGAGCGACTGGGGACCAGCTGGCCTGGCCACTTCCTGTCAGAGAAGGCAGGCCCAGGGTCACCCAGCAAGTCAGAGGCTGCTGGGATCCAAACACTCCTGACATCAAGGTCCAATTTCTGAGTATCCCAGAGTGCGTGAGCTCCTTGACTGGGCACTGAGGGATCTGTAGTCTAGGGAAGGACAGCCAAGTCACCAGGCCTGACAAGAGGAGGGGAGAGACTTTCCAGAGCAGGACACTCTGCTACATCCCTTACAAGGGCCTCAACCCTGCAGACATCTCATTCCTGCACCCCAACTTGCTTGGGGGCCCCTTGACAGAATCGTCCCACCTTTCCCTCTCTGTATAACCAGCACCTGTGATGGGTGAGGTGGGTAGGCACACAAATACTGCTCAGTAAATACATAGGGAGCAGGATGCACGGCTGATGATGGATGGGTGAGTGGATGGATGGGGGATGGACGGAGTATGGCTGTGCGGATGGCTGGATGGGTGGGTAGGCAGGTGGATGGGGAGATGGGTGGGTGAACAGATGGATGGAGGAGAGATGGTGGGTGGAGAGAGGACAGCTGTGTGGACGGTTGGATGGGTGGGTAGGTGGATGGGTGAATGGATGGATGGTGGGTGGAGAGAGGACGGCTGTGTGGACGGTTGGATGGGTGGGTAGGTGGATGGGTGAATGGATGGATGGTGGGTGGATGGAGGACGGTTGTGTGGATGGTTGGATGGGTGGGTAGGTGTATGGATGGGTAGATGGGTGGCGGGTGGGTGGAGGATGGCTGTGTAGACGGTTGGATGGGTGGGTAGGTGGATGGGTAGATGGGTGGTGGGTGGATGGAGGATGGCTGTGTGGAGGGTTGGATGGGTGGGTAGGTGTATGGATGGGTAGATGGATGGTGGGTGGAGGGAGGACGGCTGTGTGGATGGTTGGATGGGTGGGAAGGTGGATGGATGGGTAGATAGGTGGGTGAGCAGATGGATGGAAGAGAGATGGTGGGTGGAGGGAGGATGGCTGTGTGGACGGTTGGGTGGGTAGGCGTATGGATGGGTAGATGGGTGGTGGGTGGAGGGAGGATGGCTGTGTGAACGGTTGGATGGGTGGGTAGGTGTATGGATGGGTAGATGGATGGTGGGTGGAGGGAGGACGGCTGTGTGGATGGTTGGATGGGTGGGAAGGTGGGTGGATGGGTAGATGGGTGGGTGAGCAGATGGATGGAGGAGAGATGGTGGGTGGAGGGAGGACGGCTGTGTGGAGGGTTGGATGGGTGGGTAGGTGTATGGATGGGTAGATGAATAGTGGGTGGAGGGAGGACGGCTGTGTGGACGGTTGGGCGGGTAGGCATATGGATGGGTAGATGGGTGGCGGGTGAAGGGAGGACGGCTGTGTGGACGGTTGGATGGGTGGGTAGGTGTATGGATGGGTAGATGGGTGGTGGGTGGGTGGAGGATGGCTGTGTGGATGGCTGGATGGGTGGGTAGGTGGATGGATGGGTAGATGGGTGGGTGAACAGATGGATGGAGGAGAGAT